CATGTTTAATACTGCTATACCTAAGTGCTACAAATGCATTAGTTGAAGGGTATTAGTGTATATATATAATCTAAAAAAAAAATAAAATTTAAAACATATATATATATATATATATATATATATATATATATATATATATATATATATATATATATATATATATATATATATATATATATATATATATATATATATAGATATATATATATATATGTATATATATATATATATATATATATATATATATATATATATATATATATATATATATATATATATATATATATATATATATATATGTATATATATATATATATATATATGTATATATATATATATATATATATATATATATATATATATATATATATATATATATATATATATATATATATATATACATATACATATCATTACAACCTAATACACACCAGTGTATAAAGTTTACATTAGAAGAATAACCACAATTCTATCTGTGAAAATAAGCCCGTTATATACTACTAACATATATATGTGTTAAGTTTTACAAAACTTGAAGCTTATAAAATCTATAAGAATACAGTATTTTAAGTTTACAAAGAAAATACAAGATTCATACCAGACTTTTATTAGAACTAAAGTTTACAAGATTATTTTTTTATATAATCATCCTTTGTCAAAGTCAAGTCGTGATGCTGCTTTTATATTACATTGTTTTTTGTTCCTAAGCAAGTAGTTTTTAACTTTTCCCTTTTTTTTTATCTTTTGCGATATGCCATCAACATGTGCTACAGTCATTTCAGGTTCCACAAGAACTGTGTTTACTACATTTGGAGCAGCACGATCTGTAACTGATGATGGTAAATATTCATCATCTTTTCATCAAAATTTCTGGATTAAATGGCTCAATGCCAGCTACTTGAAATCCTCTCTGTATATTAGATGGTGAGAAAGCTTTTGTATATGGTTTGCGAACTATTGAAACAATATCTGTGACCATCCAATTATCACACGCAGCATTAAAAAATCTTTTCAATGGTCCAAAAACAGTTCTATCCAATGGTTGCAATTTATGGGTACAATCGGGAGGAAAACTTAGCATTGTAATTCCATGTTGAATTGCAAGATCCAAAGCTCTAACAGAAATATGACTTTTATGGCTGTCCAGAAGTAACAAAACTGGAGATTCATGAGAACAGTTTGAATACCTCACAAAATGTTTTATCCATTCTATAAAAATGTCTGCATTCATCCAACCAGAAGGATTTACAAATCCCACGCATCCAGAAGGACCTTTCTTTATCATGTAATCATGAAATTTGACCCTAGGAAAAACAAATAGTGGAGGAATAGAGTTTCCAATTGCATTTGAAGCACAACATACAGTTACTAATGTTCCTCGTTCTGCAGATGTGATTCTTCCTACTTGTTTACTTCCTTTACCTGCTAACACTTTTACTGGCTTTTGTACTGTTGTCAAACCAGTTTCATCAACATTATATATGCAATTAGGATCAAACTTATATCAATTTCTTACCGTTTTTAGATTTTGGAAAAATTCTTCAACAGTGTGTCGGTTAAAAGCAGTTGATCAAGCAAAGCTAGTTGCTTCAGGTGTTCGTAAAGACAACTCTGGTTGTCTTTTCATAAAACCTAGCAACCAATCAATTCCTGCAATTTTATTCTTGATCCATGATGAAGGGCAAATCTTATTATTTTTTACAGCAAACTCGTATGCCAATAATCGTGTTGACTTAGTTGAAAGTCCATAGTTCATTTTTGATGCAAGTAGTAATTAACTTGACAAATTTTTTTCATCTTCTGCAGTAAAAACTTGTTTATTGTTGTAATTAGCCTTATAAGATTCATTTAGGTTGAGCTTCATTTCATTACAATATCTTTTTAAGGTCATTCGATTTATGCTAAACTTGCGAGCTACAACATTCACTGGTCTGCCCTCAAAAACTTCATTAACAGCTGATTTCATTGTATCACATGATGTAGCAACTCTGTCTGTTCTTTTTTTTCTATACCTAACCATTTAAAGATCTGAAAATTAAAAAAAAAAGTAAAATAAAATGATTGTTTAAAAAAAGTATTTTATATAGTAATATTATGTAAAGTAATTGTAAAATTTATGTAAAACTAAAAACTAATCTTATTAATATTAGTTTTTAACACTATTACGTTTTAAAAATGAAATTTTAAAAGTTTATATAAAGATTTTTTACTCGTCATAAGTTTAAATGTATAAAATTTAAACAATTTAAGTCTTATAATATAAGTTATATGGGGCACTTTGATCCTCCGATCAATGAGCTCCGCATAGTCAACGATCAATGTGCCCCATTAGGTATAGTTGATATATTGATGCCAATAACTTCTATAAATACAGTAACCAACTCAAAAAAACAAATTTATTATAAACTTAACACATATGAGTTTACAATAAATTGGTTGTAAAGTCATACGGAAATCTAATTAAAAATTTATTTGAATTTGTTTACAACTTTCAAAAATCACTTATCATGATGAAAAACAGTCTTTTTAATTTTCTTAATGCTGAAGTTGATCTTATCAAAAATTATTACGATTAAGCAATGAAGGGTAGTATAATGGTTAATTAAATTGCAATATCTGTCAAATTAAGGCAAAAGTAAACGAGTAAAAGCTAAAAGATCATACTGCCCCGGCGATCAATGCGCCCTTATCTCCCCTATCTTTCTGTATATTTTAAGCATCTGTCTGTTTCGGTAAATGGTTACTCTGATGCCAGGTGTTAACAAGTGCTACTCTTCTAGTCAAAAACCAAGAACCTCAGCTCTCAATATGATAGATGTAAGTCTTTGATTAGATTGTTCAGCTCCTTTTGCTTAATAAAATGTGGAGTTAATTCCGCTTCAGACATAAAGTCATCATCGTCATTTCCTTAGTTTGATTTGTCTAATGTATCTGGAGAGGGCAAGAGGTTGAATACACTTAGTGGAGTTGGAATAGACAGACTGTCACTGTGAGATACTTTGGAATAGACAGACTGTCACTGTGAGATACTTTGGAATAGACAGACTGTCACTGTGAGATACTTTGGAATAGACAGACTGTCACTGTGAGATACTTTGGAATAGACAGACTGTCACTGTGAGATACTTTGGAATAGACAGACTGTCACTGTGAGATACTTTGGAATAGACAGACTGTCACTGTGAGATACTTTGGAATAGACAGACTGTCACTGTGAGATACTTTGGAATAGACAGACTGTCACTGTGAGATACTTGCAACTTTGCTGAATCATAAGTTGGATACTCTATTTTGTCCTTTGTCTTTAGAGAATGTTTTTCGATTTTTTTTTAACAAAAATAGCAGTCGATGGTATGATCTGTTTGAACTATTTTTATAAGATTGTCTGCTGATTGAAGATATCCTGCAATAAAATACAGATAGAATCCTTATTTTTTACTGTAAATTGAATAAAAATATTAAAATACATTTACGCAATTTAAAAAAGGAATGTTTAAAAATGCGAAAACTATAGCTTAAAACTGATTTAAGATAAAAATAATAAAATATAAAATTTCAGAAGAATCTGGACGAAAAGGATCAAAATGGATTCTATTTTCTTAATCAGCTCAAAAATCTGATCTAGAAATAATGCTAATAAACCTAATGCTAATAATTAAATCTAAAAAAAGTTTATTTTTTGTTGCTCAGTCTTATCTCGAGGTTTGCTTTTCACTTTACCGTTTTTAATGCTAATGTACATTTCCATAAAATCAGTCATGGAAACTCATCCATTTTGTTTATCATTTTCATGACATTACAGCTGGCTCTCCGATTTACTAGCATCTCATTCTATTTAATATAATTATTTTTTAAATAAAGATTAGTATACTTTAGTAATGTTATCAAAGAATAAATTGAGTTTGAAATAGAATCGCGCGCGGAATAGAAAAATGCAAATTTTAGTTAGTAGATGAATAAACTTTAATTCCTCGGAAAATATAAGCTTTAGCAGTATGTTTATTTTAAATAATATTTTATATATTAGTAAAGATTTCCAAAAGTTACAGAATTGTACAATGTATCATAGAGTTACAGCAATAGTTTAAGTGTAGCTAATGTTTATTCATGCACGGATGTCACGCACGTAAGTTGCGAACTTGTCAAGTTCATGTAGTTATTTTTATGATAATAAATTGTTTGTGAGCGTTTCCAGTGAAATCTTTCCAATAAAATATTATATCTAAAAAACTGGTATTAAATATATTTTCTTTGAGAAAAAAACATCAAATATTTACATATTGATTGTAGCGTTTAAAAAATCATTGTATATTTTTCAAACTATTGCGACATTAACACACTCAAAAATATAAAACGATAAAAAATATATGTATTTAAACATCCAGTTAGCCTAAAATATTATAGAAATACTTTTGCTATAATTGTTCTTTAAGATAATCATAAAAGTATGCATATTGCTGTAAGACCTAGCTTCTAATTATAAAAACTAAAAAAATAAAAAAGCACAAATAGAAATGGAAATGCCCTTATTTTAATGATAATGACTTTATAATTTTCATCCCATAAATAAATGTTGTTTAAATGTTGTTTAAATGTTGTTTAAATGTAGTTTAAATGTAGTTTAAATTTTGTTTATATGTTGTTTAAATGTAGTTTAAATGTTATTTATATGTTGTTTAAATGTTGTTTAAATGTTATTTATATGTTGTTTAAATGTAGTTTAAATGTTGTTTAAATTTTGTTTAAATGTTGTTTAAATGTTGTTTAAATGTTGTTTAAATGTTGTTTAAATGTTGTTTAAATGTTGTTTATATGTTGTTTAAATGTTGTTTAAATGTTGTTTAAATGTTGTTTAAATGTTGTTTATATGTTGTTTAAATGTTGTTTAAATGTTGCTTAAATGTATAATTAAAATTTTATATGTTCTAAAACATTTATTTAACATATGAATGTTAAATAAATGTTTACTGTGTAACTTAAATATATATATGTGAATCTAGAATGAAATCAGAGATCTCTCACTGGAGAAAGTTGCATCTAAAATGCGGGAATCAAACGATTTAAACGTGGAAGTAAAATCTGCTATGCCGTTACTCTTGCATTCAAAACTAAAATTGCGTAAACCAGTTTTAGCAACAAATGTGCAAAAGAAATCTCTTGACAATCTCTTTGGTGTTGATAAACCATCTAATTTGGGTTTAAATCAAGAGGATTGTATTTATGAAAGTGACAAAATGAATTCAATGCAGAAAAAAACTTTTACTGGAAGTCTTCACGTTTCTATTCATAAAGTAACTGGATGCCGAGAGCAAGGATCTTTTTCATGCAGCTTAGAAACCGATGGCGAATTTAAAGCAAAAACATCAGCAAAAATGATGCAGGAAAATTTAGAAATTGACGAGTCTTTTGAAATTGAGGTTAACGAAACTTCTTCAATTGAACTGAAGCTATTTTTAAACAAAAAAGAGAAGCCAAGCGACATTGGTCGAATACATTTGGAAAATATATTTGCGCATAATAATATTGTTAGTATAATATTAAAAACAGTTAAATTTGGAATTAAATTATTTTTGTCCCTCAAATACATAGCCGTTAATAACTTTTTGAATCGCGCACCATCAAAACGTTTGAAAGGTGTGTTTGGTTTTAACATTGCGCAAACATTAATTGACGATTGTAATACCATTCCATTTATTGTCAGAAGATGTGTTGAAAAAATTGAACAGTATGGTCTTTTTCTAGAAGGAATATACCGTATAAATGGAAATGCCAGAATAAAAAAAATTTTGCGCGCCAAATTTGATGAAAAAGTTGTTGAATATGAAGGTATAGACGAATTTGACTGTCACGTGGTATCAGGGGTTCTAAAAGACTACCTCAGAGAATTGCCTCAGCCGTTAATTTCTCAAAAACTTTTTTTAAAAATATACGAGAAGTCTCTTGAGGGCGATAATAAAAACTGCTCTGATTTAGTTTTACTAGACGCAATGAAGAGTGTGCATTACTCAAACAGGGAGACACTTATTTACGTTATGGAACATTTATTACGAGTAGATTCTGAAAAAGATAAAAACAAAATGGATTTCAAAAACTTGGCTGTCTGCTTTGGCCCTGTAATGATGTGTCCTCCAGCTTTAACGTCTGATATAATAGATATTAAGAAACAAGTTGAAGCGTTAAACTACCTTTTAGAAATCTGGCCTAAGTTATCTCCACAATACAATGTTTAATCATTGAAGTTTATTTTATTCTCTTAGTTTTGCATTTAATACCTCTATTTCTGTCTTTCAGTTTCTACTCGAATTTAGTTTAATTTTAACAAAGTATAAAAAAAATGTCAGCAATAAACAATTAATAGTTTGCCCCATGCTCTGAATAAAGTTTTATATATTTTATACATATTTTTAAGTAAAATAACCTGATTTAATTTTAATAAATATAAAGTATATATATATATATATATATATATATATATATATATATATATATATATATATATATATATATATATATATATATATATATATATATATATATATATATATATATATATATATATATATATATATATAAATATAATGTGCTAATAATTTAATTACAAGTAAAAAAATAAGGCAACTAAACAAGAAATTGACTTTTTTTTTGAGTACAAGGTTATCAAGTGACCTTATTGTAATGCAAAACACTAATCATTAAAGTTTATTTGTTAATTCAGAAATCAATAATATTTATAACAAATTAAATCCATAAAGAATAAAATGTTTATAATATATTGAAAAAAAAAGCGCAGCACCAGGCAGCTCTATTGTGAAAAATATTGGACACACGTTGTATCGATGCTTACTTTGTTAGACCGTCAAATCGGCTTTTGGGTTCTTTGATTGAAAAGGCGTTAATTACATTTGATGATTTAGCGTTCCATGCTTCGACTGCGTTGTTTGTCAACAAATTATCTATTTCATTACAGTTCTTTAATAATGCCTTTGTTAGTCTTAAATTCTTGCCAAGAAAGTTATACAATAAGAAGTTTATTTGCAGCCGTGGCGCAGTGGTTAGAGTTCTGGCTCAGAATCAGTAGGTCAGAGGTTGTTTGCCGCAAAGAAGGAGCCATGAACTTCCTAGATAAATTATCTTGCGCGGTAATTGTATATTAACAAATTGTATGACTTTAGCTTGATTCCTATGATCTTTGTCACACGTTGCTATCGAAGAAACTTATGAAATGTTTTATAATTTGATGAAAAGTATTATAAATATTTAATTATATGCTTTAAGAGATATTCTAAAAAAGGCATAAAGGGTCTTCCGCAAATTAGGTAATGCTATTTTTGACCGTTTTTGACCCCCCCCCCTCTTTTCAAAACATCGTAACTCTTAAGTAACAAGTCCTGTACGAGTTATGACAAAACCATTAACCTCTTATCCCCCTACAGCGTAACGTAATTTATGAATAACCCTAAAATATGCAGCAATATAATTTATTAGGTTTTAAAATGGTACTTATAATTAATATTTTAATATTTTATATTAATGTGTTAATTATAGTTTTATATTTTTTAGTTAATTATATTAATATTTCAATGTTTTATAAACTATATTGCTGCAACCTTTGATTTTTTTTAAATTATCTTTTATGCATATAACTAAATAAAAAAATTTTTTATCAAAAAGGTTTTAAAGAAAATTTTTTTTTATATAAGATTTTTTTACCAAGGAATTCTTATTGAACTATCTAGGATTTGACGTGTTTAAAAGTGAACAAAGTATTTAGTTTATTCTTGTGTTTGAGCAAAATAGATGATTTGAGTCACAAACCAGCACATCCACAAATCCAAGTTCTCCCTGTAATCAAAGTCCCACTAGTGGAATTATTTGTCGCCTTTTTGCTTCTAGTAGTTTGTCAGCAAATGTGATTCCTCCTTTACTTGTTGTAGCTTCCGAACCAAAGAGATCCGCTAGTTGTCCTGCCATAATCAATCATAAGTGGAATCTTTTGATCAAATTATTCACTTATTTATAAATTATTTATAGTTGACTCATATCGTTGTTACAAAGGTTATAAGCGGCAAATTGTAGTCAACTGACACTTTTTCTTCAAAAACATATATCGTTTTAATTATAAATCCTAAAATAAACGATAAATATATTAATAAACAACTAACCTAATATAGTTTAAAATGCTTTTGAACCTTGTTTTTGATTGTTGGGCTAGAGCTAGCATCAAACCTCGGATCTCTGGGTTCTGAGCCAGAACTTTAACCAGTGCGCCACGGCTGCTCTCACGGAATTTCAATCAAAAGATAAAGGTCCATACTTTGTTGTACAAGTATTAGTGGAGTTTTGTTTTTTATATCTCAGATTTGGTTGAAGAAACTTAAAAACTTCATTCATATGTATTGGTGAAATATGTAATTTTACTTTAAAAAGCTTAGTAAATAAACGATGCTACTTTTTTTGGTGTATAGTTAAGGTACCGCTATTTTATTTAGAGAATATCAATTCATAGCCTCTCTTTATGTTTAATTAGCTGTACGTTAGTCATGAGCATTATTTTTATTTTTTTATTTTTTATAAAACCTATTTCTTTTTGAATATATTGTTATGCAGCGCAGTGCAGATTTATAACCTCGCCAAAAGTTCAAGGTCTTGCAAATAAATAAGTGATCATAACTAAATTATTCAGCTGCTTAACATCTAACTTGATTAATGTTTCATTTGTAATACAGTCTGGATTCGTTTTGTTAATTAGTTTGAAAATTTTAGAAAAATGATGTTGCAAATATATAACCTCATTTCAATATTGTTCAACAAAACTTTGTGTGTGTTGCATCTTAATTTGAATTGATAATGAATACATTAATTTATTGGCGCAATTTAGAATGATTTCAAATAGTCGATTTGATATACTTTCCAAATGTTTTCTGAGAACAGCAAGAGGTATGTTTTTCCAAACTTGTGCAATTATTTTTTTCTATTAAATTAACGTTTAAATATTGTTTCCCTTCTGAATAAACACGTCTTGCTATTATGCCCCATATATATTCAATCAAATTTAACTCAGGTGATTCTAATTGAATTTTATTGCTGGTGAGCCATGGGATATTCAACTTTGCTTTATAAATTGGAGCATTATCTTTCTGAAAAATAAGTTTTTTGTGAAATATCATTCAAATGAACATCCAACAAATTTCTAAACCCTTCAGCATTTAATTTAGTAGAAAAAAAGTCGTACTTTTTCTAAAATAACCGAAGCCACCCCAAATCGTTACTCCTCCGCCTTTGATAGCTCTTCTTTTTGAAAGAAACTTCTTTTTTCTAATGTCATGCCAGTAATAATTAAAACATATGGACCATCAAGATTAAATTTTTTTTCGTTGGACCACGCAATTTTTTACCATTCATTTTTCCAAGCCAAGTAGTCTTTGGCCCATTGAGACGAATGCGTTAGTGTGCTTTAGTTAGTGTTAAAGATGTGCAATTTTTTTCACATATTTGAAAATGTTTGACTTGTTAATAAAACAATTTACAGTCCATCTTGAACATTTCAATCCCAAATCAGCTACAATTTGTTTCGCAGAGGCTATACAGTTACTAATTAAAGGAAAGTATATCAACTTTAGACAGACTGTATTTACATATGGACGAACATGGTACATTAGACCAATGGTTTTACTAACTTTTGATTGTAAACATTTAATATGGAGAAGCCAAGATAAATAATTGTCATCAACTATTCCTAAAAATTTTATATTGTCTTGTTTTTTTATTTTTATGTCATTTAAAAATAGGTCAGGTAATCTGCAAACATAATTGGGTTTAACTTTACTTATGCATTATTTAAGTCATTTGCATAAACTAAGAATATGAGAGGACGATCCTTGCGGTACTCCACACGGGATCAGTGAGGTAACTTTTAATCCAATAGTAGAACTTATTAGTTACTCCATAATGCTTCAACTTTTCTTAGTTATAATAGTGCGGTTGTAAGCTTCACTTTAACAAAGAAGATCTTTGACTTTTTGCTAACTATTGAAGTAACCATGCAGAATTTTTGACGAGCTTCTTTTCATTGTTGGTAACCACCGTATTTATAAACTTCTTTACTAATTTTCAAATCTATATTTAGCTTTAAGTGTCTTATGAGTAAAGCAACCAACAACAATATATTTATCTCACAACGTTTCTTTTTCTTTGATAGATTTAATACATTTAATACAGGGTTCATTATCTGAACTCTGGTATCCGGGGCGCTGAAAAATATGGGGCGCATTATATTTATGTGTCTCACCGCAAAGTAATTATTTAATGATCTTATTTCATTTTTAAAAGTTTCTAATTCAAAATATTGCAAATTAAAATTATTTCTATTTATAAAAATACAAATCTGGGTCGTAAGAGTTATTAAGTAATACTTTTTTTACCGAATTGAAAACATTAAAGTGTTGCGTTTCAAATATTATTTTTTGTTTAGCCAATCAAAAAAAGAATTAATTCTTGAACAATCGCTGAATAAAAAGTTTATACACAACTTATTTTTGTATTACATTGATTAGTTTAAGAGTCCATCATGTCTGCAAATAAACCATTGGGTGCAGCAAACCGAAAAAGATAATTTAAATTTAAACGAGAAAATGAAAATTCTGCAAAGTTTTTCGCGAAATATTTTCAAGTTCAAGCAAAATGAAGAAATTGACTGCCCGTGGTCATTAGTTGGTAGTAATTCTTTTTTTGGCGAGAAAATGGAAAAAACGCCTGAAAAAAGTAGAAAACTCGAAGCAACATCTCGGTCTCCTAGTTCTACCACTACTGATGACGTTCAAATAGATATAAGTGATCCTGCACTATGGCCCGCTGCCCTTAATTCTAAAATTTGTGATCACATAATTTATGTAGGAATTGATGTAGAATCTTACATAACAAAAATTATTGAATTTCTACGAGATCATAAAAAATTGTTGTTTTTTGAAATCATTAATGTACAGTAAATTAAATAACGGTGAATCTTTTTTGCAAATCTGGTTACTATATTCATTAAGTTCTGATTAAGTGTTTAGTGTTTGTTGTAAACTTTATTATTCAGATAAAATAAAGTCATCATTAGCCACTGTTGGAATCAATAACTGGAAACACATTACTGAATATATAAAATTACATAAAAAAATCACCCAAACATTTAAAGTGTTTTGGTAATTGGTTTGAAGCTAGTAGTAGGCTTAAAACAAATAAAACTATTGATAA